TGACCACTTGCTATCGCGTGTGCTGACCACCAGGGGGTGACATAGAATATCACGGGCGTCGGCCAATGGAGCACTGGCAGCGGGTGGCAGTGAAGGCAGTGCCAGCCCAGAAGGGCCCTGAAGAGAGCAGGACTATGGTGGCATGGTGGAGCAGGTGAGCTGGCAGCACCAGCCCAAAGCGAGTGTGAGCGGGCACCTGATGGCCTGGTAGATGGAGACCAGCAGCAGCGGCAGGGGGGTGAGGCCGGCACCTGGCTCTGAGGCGCTGGGGAGCCAGGCAGGGCTGTGGGTGGAAGTGCGGGGTGCGAGCATGAGGGCCAATACCCGCCGGCCACCTCAAGGGACTCACAGGGGCACAACTTCATGCACCTGACCACTAGTCTCTGACAATACTTCTCTTTCAGGTATAAAGGTCCCTTTTCTAATGTAAATTTCCTTTCTAATTGCTGATTATCTCACAAATGGGAAATGTTCTACTTGGGGGGGGAGGGGGGCGGCAGAGAAGTAAGAGCTAAGGGTTTTTCCTGAGTCTATTGGGTTTTGATTGCCTTCAACTCAAAATAAGCCACATCCAAAATGGTGGAAGGAAGGAAGCCCCTCCTTCAGAGAGGGAAGAGGAAAGCCCAAAGGGACTAGGAAAACAATGAGAAGAGGAGAACCTCAGGTACCTCACATGCGGTTTGAGCTCTGGAGTGGCTATAGTGACAAATCAGAGGGGATAGTGACCAATCAGAGGGGATATCAAGGCACAAAGAACTACAGCCCTTATAAACCATAGAAAAAAGGGACATAGTGGGATTCTCTCCCCCTCCCCACATGGGAGTCTGTGCTTGTTGTTCAATAAATTTCCATCCTTTACTATACCATCTGTTGTCCATGGTTTCATTTTTGGACTCCACCTGGACAAGGACCCGGGAATCATGCTGTCCAGCAAAACACCACACATTCCAGTCCAACTTTCGAGTTTCAATGGAATATTTTGAGGTGGCATGTTCTGAACCCCTTCATGATGTAAAATAAATTCTTTCAGGTTACATGCATAGGTGACCAAGGCTGCATTGTAATATGGGTGTGGTCCATCCCTCTGTCCCAGAACCGGTGCCCTTTCCATAGCCCCAGATGGGTGAATCGATAGTAGTTGGGTTTCATGGATGGTGGTGCCCAGTGGGTGGAAGTAGATGGGCTTGATGATAAAAGCATGAGAATGGAAGATTGGGGTTAGGAGAGAGAAATCTGTTTGGATCCACTTGAAATAAACTCAGGGACTGAAGGAAGAAATATTTTCTCAGACACAGCAACTAATGATTTCAGGTAAGGACTGTTTTTCTGACCAAGAAGCTGCTTAGCTGACTTCATTTGAGCTTCCAAATCTGGAGGAGCAGTTGTCCAGCTGAGCTGTGACTGGCTGCAGGTAGGGAAATGGGCTTCTCTTGGCAGCTGGAATTAAAAGGTCAGGAGACTAGCAGGACTCATAGGCCACCAGCAAAGTAAGGGCTGAGATTTCCGGGGCATCCACTTCTCAGTGCAGAGCCCAGCTTCCCAAAGAAACCCATCTCAGTCCAGTCCTTCATTCGGGGCCCACTGGTGGTTGAAGCAGCTCTGGCAGGACTCCTGGCAGAAATCAACTATTCCATCTGTCTGGATGACCTGAGAGCCTGTCACTATCGAAGGTGAGCACAATGTCCGTCACTCCTGCATCCAGCAGTCCTGGGCTGATCTACAGGACAGGTTCCCTTGCCCTGTGTGCCGTCACCCATGTGAAGAGAGGCATGGGAGCAACACCCAGCAGGAAGGATGGTTGACATCACCAAGCTCCTCTCGACCACCAGGGGCAAGAAGAGGCAGGAAGAGGTGCTTGTGGGACAAGCACAAGGTACTGACCTTCTTCTGTGAGGGGGACATACAGCTGTAGTATCCCTGTGCACTCAGCCCCGACCATCAGGTGAGGCCCATGCAGGAGGCTGCCTCTCATCATAGGCAAAGGCTCAGCAGTTACATTGAGCCCCTGAAGAAGCAGGTAGCAGATGTTCAGAAATTAATAAGCATTCAAAGCAAAAAATAAACAAAACTCTTAGAACTGAGAGAGAAGGTGGAAAACCAAAGGCTGGAATTACTCTGTGAATCTGAACACCTGAAGCGGTTTTTAGAACATGATCAAGAACCAGATCTTGCCCTAACCGGTTTGGCTCAGTGGATAGAGTGTCAGCCTGTGGACTGAAGGGTCCCAGGTTCGATTCCGGCCAAGGGCATGTACCTTGGTTGCGGGCACATCCCCAGTGGGGGGCGTGCAGGAGGCAGCTGATTGATGCTTCTCTCTCATTGATGTTTCTAACTCTCTATCCCTCTCCCTTCCTCTCTGTAAAAATCAATAAACTATATATTTTTAAAAAATATCTTTCAAGATTAGATTAGCTGATGAAGGCTATTGAAAAGAAACTCAGCGCTAATATAACTGCATTTCCAAAGTACAATTCCACATCCAAAGACATATTAAGTAAGGTAGTAGAGTGCACTGCGCTGAGGGAAGTGGAATGGCTGTTTATTTATCTTCCACGACTTCCATTTCATGCTCCTTCTCCTCTAGCCTTAATGAGTTTTCTGGAGAGCCCCACAAATACACTCTTATTTCCTTTTAAAATCCAACTCATCTTTCAAGATCCCAACCAAATAAAACTTGTTCTCTGTAAAACTTGTCCAGACAAGTCTTTTCTTTCTAGCTGAAAACTCCTATGAAAATACTACCCTTAATATTTAGTTGCAGTATTTCTTACGCTGCCTTGTCTTATTTTGCATGACTACATTAAGGTGTTGGGTCCTACAATACAGTGTCTTCTGTCTCCCATCTGATGTTCAATAAATACATGTTTACATTAAATACACTGTCCAATGGATCTGACAGGAAATAATAAATCCATACAAGTAGCACCCTATCATTTTCTAATTCATATCTGCAAGTGAAAGGGAAGATGCCTCCCAAATACAAATAATTTCATTTCCTACCTGTAGAACATATCTCTTGTTTTTGCCCACACCATCTCTCTTCTCCCTTCTTTTGTGACAATAACTATTTTCGCAGGGGACCCACCATCTACCTCTGCATTAAGTCTCAATGGGAACATCTTTCAATACTCTTCACCCTCCTCTGGCCTAGGGTTGGTCATGGAAGTAAAGGGATCTGGGCAATTCAACTCTGGGCAGTAAAGCCAAGGGAGACCCCGGTTATCGCAGACCCATTCCAGGCAGACCCTGACAGGACTTGAGCTGCCCTTGTTGGGTCCTTTCAGAGGCCTGTGTTCATCTGCCCCATTTCAGAGAAATGCTTGCCTTCCTTACATTAGCCAGAGTTGGTTTTACTCTTGCAAACAATTAACCTCCACTAAAAAGCCTTCACCTTTTGAAGTCATTGAAGTGTCTGCGCCTATGGGATGGCAGATCATTTTTAGGTTTTTATTGAATGGTAGAATTTATATCCATAAAATACCAAAGCAGGCAACTTACTCAGATTGAAAGTGATTTAGCGATGTAATTGTTGCTACAGATCCAAGAACTCTGGCGTAGCTTAGAATCAACCAAGAAGGTTTTAAGAAAAAAAAAAAAAAAAGAACAATTTACTGCATGCGTTTTTGTAAATCTCTCAATTTACTTATTCATTTTATTTCCATACATTGTCAGTTCATGAATGCCACACTTAAAAATTTAGAAACAATCAAATTGTCTTTAAAGTTTATTTCATTCTCTCAGAGATATACTTTTAAAAATATATTTTTATTGATTTCAGAGATGAAGGGAGAGGAAGAGATAGAAACATCAATGATGAGAATTATTGATTTGCTGCCTCCTGCACGACCCCAACTGGAGCCCACAACCCAGGCATGTGCCCTAAACCAGAATTAAACCTGGTACCCTTCTGTCCCCAGGCCAATGTTCTATCCACGGAGCCAAAATGGCTAGGAAACCATGATAACTATTTACCATAAAAGCTCTTGTAGGGCTGGAACTGTGTTTCATGTCTTGCCTGATGGACCTCATATAGTGATAAGATCACAGTAATATTTCTATTAATTTATTAATCCAAATTAGTCTTTAATGTCTCAACTTTGCATTTTTCAAGGTCACTCATTTTATTTTGTGCCAGCAGGGTAACTCAGTTAAATCTAGGCATAAATATGTTTCCCCTAAAAATGTTGCAATATACTTAAGAAAAGATTTTTTGCAATTATGCTATCACTCCGTACACTGTAAAATAGGGCACTGTATTCTAGTAATCTGCTTTGGATCCATCTAAGAAAGGAGACTCAAAAAATCCTTGCATTCCTACCATGCCTGCCTAAATTCAAAACATCCCATTGTTCTCCAAAGTCAGTTCCCTGGGGATGATAGCCACAGGTCTGCCCATGGGACGTTGGTGGCTGGCCTGCCTGTTGTAGCTGCTCCAGGTCCCACAACCCTTCAGAGCCAAGGCAGGAGACCCGCAAGAAGGGGAGATTCGCCCCATGTGCCCAGGCAGGATAGAGTGGAGTTCAGCGGCCAGGATGCACATGGAGCCAGGACTGAGAGGCCAGGTGCAGGTCAGGTGAAGCGCTCAGTTCCCAGAGCAGATGCGCACTGCACATAGGTTGGCCACCTCCCTCAGCCCGGGCATCCCAGCAGCCACCACACAGCAGCTGACCCCAGTGGAGACCTGGGAAAATAAGGTGGAAGCTGGCTGGATGGGGACTCCATCCCACCCTGGTGTCTCCTCCTACAACCCCAGGGCCCAGGCCAGCCCCTCTCATGAGGCTTATTTCCATCATGTCTTCTTTTATGTCTGTGTGATACAACTGAAGGTTTCCCAAATTGCTTACATCAGCCGTGGGCAAACTACGGCCCACGGGCCGGATCTGGCCCGTTTGAAATGAATAAAACTAAAAAAAAAAAAAAAAAAAAAAAAAAAGACTGTACCCTTTTATGTAATTATGTTTACTTTGAATTTATATTAGTTCACACAAACACTCCATCCATGCTTTTGTTCCGGCCCTCCGGTCCAGTTTAAGAACCCATTGTGGCCCTCGAGTCAAAAAGTTTGCCCACCCCTGGCTTACATCATAAGGTTTTTCCCCAGTATGTGTTCTTCCATGCTTTCTAAGAGACTTGGAGAAAGTGAAAGCTTTACAACAATCCTTTCATTCATAGAGTTTTTCTCCACTGTGTGTGCTTAAATGTCTGGGTGTGTGCAGAAGGCAACCAATTGATGTGTTTCTGTCACATCAATATTGCTCTGTCTTTTTCTCTAATTTCCAGTCTCTCAAAGGAAAAATATCCTCAGGTGAGGATAAAAAAAGAAAAAAAATTAGGATGGTCAAAGGCTTTTCTACAATCTTTACATGATAGGGCTTATTTTCAGTGTGAGTTCCTTCATTTATTATGATTTCTCTACACTATGGGTATTTTTGTGAATTTGAAGGGAACTGGAATGAAGAAAGTTGTCCCCACATTGCTTACATTCATAGGGTCTTTCCTTATTGTGAGTTCTTTCATGACATCGGAGGGAAGTTGAATAAGAGAAAGCTTTACCACAATGGTTACACTCATAGGGTTTTTCCCCAGTATGCATTCTTTCATGATTTCTAAGGAAAGAGGGATAAAGGAACGTTTTACCACATTCCTTGCATTCATGAGGCTTCTTTCCATAATGAGTTTTTTCATGTTCTCTAAGACATTTGGTAGAAAAAAAGGCTTTCTCACATTCGTTACATTCATAGGGTTTCTCCCCAGTGTGCATTCTTTCATGATTTCGAAGAGAAGCGGAATATCTGAAAGTTTTCCTACATTGCTTACATTCATAGGGTTTCTCCCCAGAATGCATTTTTTCATGATTTCTAAGAGATGTGGAAAATCTAAAATGCTTACCACATTGCTGACATACATAGGGCTTTTTCCCAGTATGTATTCTTTCATGACTTCGACAGGACTTTGGATACCTGAAGGCTTTCCCACATTGCTTACATTCATATGGTTTTTCCCCAGTATGAGTTCTTTCATGATCTCGGAGGGAATCTGGATAAGAGAAACCTTTACCACAATGCTCACATTCATAGGGTTTTACCCCAGTATGAATTCTTTCATGACGTTGGAGGTCACCTAGATCAAAGAAAGTTTTGCCACAATGCTCACATTTATAGAGTTTTTCCCCAGTATGAATTCTTTCATGACGTCGGAGGGAAGATCGGATATTGAAAACTTTACCACATTGATTACATTCATAGGGTTTTATCCCAATATGAGTTCTTTCATGTTTTATCAGGGCATAGGGATGACAGAATGTTTTACCACATTCTTTACATCCATGAGGCTTCTTTCCATCATGACTTCTTTTATGTCTTGCAAGAGAGCTGGGAAAACTGAAGGCTTTCCCACATTGGTTACATTCATAGGGTTTTCCCCCACTATGAGTTATTTTATGATATTGGAGGGAAGTTGAATAAGAGAAAACTTTACCACAAAGCTTACATTCATAGGGTTTTTCCCGGGTATGAATTATTTCATGAATTCTAAGGAAAGAGGGATAAGAAAATGTTTTACCACATTCCTTACATTCATGAGGCTTCTTTCTGTCATGACTTCTTTTATGTGTTTCAAGAGAGCTGAGCCAACTGAAGATTTTCCCACATTCCTTATATTCATCAGGTTTCTCACCAGGATGTGTTCTTTCAGGATTTCTAAGAGAAGTGGAACTGAAAGCTTTGCCAGATTTCTTACATTGATAGGGCTTTTCTGCAATGTGTGTTCTTTCATTTTCTCCAGAGTACTTGGAAGAACTGAAAGCTTTGCCAAATTGCTTACTCTGATATGGTTTCTCTCCACTATGAGTGTTTTTGTGAAGTTGCTTACACTCATACAGTTTCCCAGGGTTATGCATTCTTTCATGATTTCTAAGGGAAGCTGAATAGTGGAAAGCTTTCCCACTGGGACTGCCTTCATGTCTTTGAATATGTTGGTGAGGCTTGAAAGCTTTCTCAGGTTCCTTACATTTATAAGAGTTTTCTTCATATTCCTGACACAGGTATAGTTTGGGTCCAATGTGAGAGCTCAGGTGGTTATTCAAGGATAAATAACGCATGAAGATTTGCCTACACAACCTGGATTTAGGTTGTTTTATTTCAGTAGGAATTTCCTTCTTCTCATTATGATTTCGAATCTGGCTGAAGTTTTCTCTGCATTGACAACCATCCTTCCTTGTACAGAGTCTCTCTACCATATGATTGCTGTAAAAATCAGAACCATATTAATAGAGTTAATGATTTAATATTTATTAATAGCATGACAATGACATTTTTACCATTTTCAAGGAAAGTGCCAGGTTTCTGTACCTTCTGATTTTTGAAAGTGGATATCCTAAAACCTCTGAAATAGGCTGAATCATAGATATTATAAAAACACTTATATTCATTAATGGTACTTCTACATATTGTTTCGAAGTGTATTTATTGTTTATACACTAAATATTAGGTCATATTTCAGAAAAAAAAAATTTGAGATTATTCTAAGAGTCAATAAATTTAAAACTTGGCTGATACAATTGGATTACCTGTTTTTAAGAATGTTTTATTGCCGAAACCGGTTTGGCTCAGTGGATAGAGCATCGGCCTGCGGACTGAAAGGTCCCAGGTTCGATTCCGGTCAAGGGCATGTACCTGGGTTGCGGGCACATCCCCAGTAGGAGATGTGCAGGAGGCAGCTGATCGATGTTTCTCTCTCATCGATGTTTCTAACTCTCTATCTCTCTCCCTTCCTCTCTGTAAAAAATCAATAAAATATATTTAAAAAAAAAAAAAAGAATGTTTTATGGCTCAGTGGTTCAGCATGGACCCACCCACCAAGGAGTTGCCAGTTCAATGCTCCAAAAGAAACCATGGCCAAACTGCAGACTTATTAATCCCAGTACAGGGCATGCAGGAGGTAGCCAATCGATATTTCTATTTCTCCCTCTCATCTCCATATATTAAAATCAATAAAAATATATTTTCATACCATCGGCGTGGCTCAGTGGTTGAGCGCCGACCTCTGAACCAGGAGGTCACAGTTTGATTCCCAGTCAGGGCACATGCCCAGGTTCTTGGCTTGATTATGAGTGTGGGACGTACAGGAGGCAGCCTTCAATAATTCTCTCTCATTGTAGATGTCTGTCTCTCTTTACCCCTCTCCCTACCTCTCTGAAATAAATTTTAAAAATTAAATATATATATAAATAAAATAAATATGTAAAAACATGTGAAAAAACACAAAGGTGCTCTTAATGCTTTCTCATGGCAATGCGACTCACCTAAGATTCCTCCCATGATTTTCATACTGATCCTCACTGACATGGCCTTCACATTTTTCTTCTAAAATACATGCTAGAAAAAGAATTATAAATTATTAAATAATATAAAAAATGGTTAGGTTTTAGATACACAATGAGCTGTGATCATTCCTAATTACCAATGTATTCCCTTTCGATATTTCAGTTCTTGAAACAGCATTGATGAGCAAGCAACACTAGTTTTCTAATTCACTAAATAAGTAACAAGTTGTTGCAGGCCAGAGTCGCTATGTGGTTAACGGTCAACCTATGAACTGGGAGGTCACAGGTCAATTCCCAATAGGCCCAGTTTGCAGGCTAGATCCCCAGTGTGAGGTGCACAGGAGGTAGCAAATCAGTGATTCTCTCTTATCATTGATTTTTCTATCTCCCACTCCTTCCTCTCTAAAATCAATGAAAATATATTTTTTTAAAAAGAATTTGCTATAACTACCTACTGATGCCAGGTTCCAGAAGGTTTTCAGCATCACATCTGTGTAGAGTTTCTTCTGGGTCGGATCCAGGAAAGCCCACTCCTCCATGGTGAACTCCACATTAACATCCTCAAAGGCCACTGAGTCCTAAAACATCCCACATATGCATATAGGAGAATGGGTGAGACAGACAGCACTAGGGATTTATACATAATTCATAAGTTCACGTAGGCCCTAAAGTGTTTGGCTCAATGGATAGAGTATCGGCCTGCAGAGTGAAGGGTCCCAGGTTCGATTCCGGTCAAGGGCATGTACCTTGGTTGTGGGCACATCCCCAGTAGGGGGTGTGCAGGAGGCAGCTGATCAATGTTTCTCTCTCATCGATGTTTCTGACTCTTTTTAAAAAATATATATATTTTATTGATATTTCAGAGAGGAAGGGAGAGGGATAGAGAGTTAGAAACATCGATGAGAGAGAAACATCCATCAGCTACCTCTTGCACACCCCCTACTGGGGATGTGTCAACAACCCAGGTACATGCCCTTGACCAGAATCGAACCTGGGACCCTTGAGTCTGCAGGCCAATGCTCTATCCACTGAGCCAAACCAGTTAGGGCTGTTTCTGACTCTATCCCTCTCCCTTCCTCTCTGTAAAAAATCAATACAATATATATATTTTTTAAAAAGAAGTTCACATAGGATATGTGGTCCCCAACATTCAGTCTTGATTGTAAGACCATTATTTATTTGCCACACTCCCTTCCTCATGAACACATGAAATTTATTGATATTATTTTATTGTGATCACTTTAAGTCTTCATTGCTCTCTAATGTCAGGGTAAAGAGCACCTTGAACAACTTCTATATTAATAAATTAAAATACTCCTATTTTAAGCCCATCGATTCCTTGTGAGAAGACTCATCTCCATTATAACCACCATTTGATGCCGCAGTCCATGAAGCATACTGTCATATCTGCATAAAGTTTTAATGACTATTGTAGGGAGCGCCCGAGCCACGGGTCATCGGCTGGGTCAGCAAAGCCATGTCCTGGAGACATACCTTGCCAAAGGCAGGGATGTTGTCAGTCCTGACCTTTAGCTCAGGCGCCAGGGGGTGGGTGTAATATCTATGTTCAGCCAGGCACCAGGTGGGGATGCAATTATCAGGGTCCAGTCAGGCCTGAGGATTATGAGAAGCCACAAGAATGAAGAACTGCAGCTTGATCTTTTACCATGCCTTCACATAATTTCCTTTGTCTCAAACTGTAGTAACACTTTCTGGTGTCCTGCTGTATATAATAAATGCGCTGCACTAGCTCGGGTCACTCACTGTCTCTCCATCCGAGAATAGTGTCCCACCTGGTCTCAGCTCTCCCTACTGTCTCTTTCTTTTTCTCAACACCCAGTTGCCCCTACTCAGGACTCATCCACTCTCTAGCCATGCTGGTCTCGGCCAAGAGAGAAGACTCATAACTATGAATACAATAAGGGCCTGGTAGCTTTCTCTTCTATTCCCATCACCAACAGGCAGTGTGTGGAAATTCAACTTGGAAGAAAATGTACTTGGCCATATTGTCCAGAAGTACTCCAGATTCTTAGAAGTAGTCAGATACACCTGAATGAATGAAAATATTCCTGTGGAGGAGAATGAATGATCATTTATTTTTATATTATTTGTTAGTAACTCAGTTTGACCTTCTTTTGCCTCTCTCATTTCATGGAGGTAGGACATTAGAGTTAAAGCTTAGGCATGAGCAAGACAGGACAATTTGGCCCTCTACAAAAGTCCTACTCTTGAGCCTGAGGGTTACTTCATACTGATTTTTAGGACACATAGACACATATATTGAAATCATAAGATCACACTCAAAAGAAGTCTTTCTGGCAGAATTGTGACACTCTAACAGGGGCCTGGACCTTGAGGAACAATTTAAGACTTGGCATGTGCAAGGCCCTTTATTGAAATCTGCAATATTTTCATGTTGAAGTAGCACATGACTCCAATATACATAAGGGGTCTTGGGGGTGCTGAAAATATCAGGCAGAGAACTGTAAAATTTGTCTAAACACTATGTCCCACACCTGAAACTAATACAAAATAAAATTAAATGTAAACTGTAATTATAATATAAACTATAAGCAGCAGCATATATGGTGTTTATGGATAGGAAAAATGAAAATCATTAAAATGTCCATATTACACAAAGCAATCTATAGATTTAATGCAATTCCTATCGAGATACCAATGGTGTATTTCACATAACTAGTACAAATATTCAACAATTTTATATGGAACGACAAAACACCCTGAATAGCAACAGCAATCTTGAGGAAGAACAAATGTGGATGAATCAGACTATCTAATATCCAACTGTACTACAAGGCTATAGAAATCAAACCAGTATGGTCCAGGCATAACAACAGCATATAAATCATTGGAACGGAACAGAGAGACCAGAAATAAACCCATGCCTTTATGGTCACGGAATATTTGACAAAGGAGGCAAGAATACACAATAAAGTAAAGATAGTATATTCAATAAATGATGCTAAGAAAATGCAAAAGAAGGAGGAGGAGGAGGAGGAGGAGGAGGAGGAGGAGGAGGAGGAGGAGGAGAAACCAGAACAGCATCTTACATCATACACAAGAATAAAAGACTTAAATGTAAGACTCAAAACCATAAAAATCCTAGCCGAAAAAACTGGCAATAAAATCGTGGACATTTCTCCTAGCAATACTTCTTCTGATATGTCTCCACGGGAAAGAGAAAAAAAGATAAAATAAACAAATGGGACTGCATCAAACGAAAAGGAAACCATCAACAAAATAAAAAGGCAAACAACCCAGTGGGAGAACATATTCACCAATGACACCCCTGGTAAGGGGTTATTACCCAAAATTTATAAAGAATTTATACAACCCAACACCAAAAAAATAATTTTAAAAAGGTGGTGGGTTCAGTTCCCGATTAGGGTACATGCCCCAGTTTTGTGTTTGATTCCCAATTGAGGTGTGAATAGGAGTTAACCAATAGATGTTTTTCTCTATCTCTCTCTCTCCTACCCTAGCTATCTCTCCAAAATCAGTAAAAAACATACCCGCCGGTGCAGCCTTAAAAACATGAAATAAAAAACAACATAGAAAATAGCTTATATATTTAAAAAAATGGACAAAGGACATGGATAGATACTTCCACAAAGAGGACACACAGATGGCCAATACACACATGAAAAATGCAAATTAAAACCACACTGAAAAATCACCTCACACCGGTCAGAATGGCTATCATCAATAAAGGCCCAAATGACAAGTGTCACCATGGAGTTTCCTCTAAACTTAAAAATACAACTGGCTCCTGACCCAGTGACTTCACTTCTGGGATTATACCGAAGAAATTCAAAGCACTAATTCAAAAGAAAATAGGCCCCCCTGCGTGCATTGCAGCATTATTTACAACAGCCCCGATTTGGAAGAAGCTCAAGTGCCCATCAGTAGGCGAGTGGATAAAAAAACCGTGGTCCAACTCAACTGAGTATTACTCAGCCATAAAAATGAAGGAAATCTTACCCTCTGTGACAGCACGGATGGACCCGGAGAGCATTATGCTAAGTGAATAAACCAGCAAGAAAAACACAAATATCACTTGATTTCATTTACCTGTGGAACCTAAGGAAGAAAAAAATGCTAACAAAGTATAAAAAGACTCAGATATAGAGAACAGCCTGACAGCTGTCAGAAGGGAGACTGGATGAAAACAGGGGGAGGGATTAAGCAACACAAACAGACTCTGACAACAGCATGGGGATTACCAGAGGGAAAGGGGGGTGTGCAGAGGTAGAAGAGGGTAAAGGGGAGGATTAAATGGTGATGGAAGGAGACACTGGGTGGGGAACACACAACACAATGCACACACGATGTGTTATAGAATTGTACACTTGAATCTTATATAATTTTCCTAGCCAATGTCATCCCAATAGGTTAAAAATTTTTCCAATCTGAAAATATAAAACTTACAAAAGTGATTTTCTCCAAGAACTTGATGCTACTCTAGAGGCTCTTCTCCCAACTGGTCTCATTTCTGAGCTCTCCTGTGAGTTCCAGCAGCAGGACAGTCTATCCCAGGCACAGGACCTGCCCAACAGCATAATTCCCTTAATGCTGCGCCCAGAGAGACATCATACCCACTGATGTCTATGTGCAGGGAACAGAGAAAAGGTTCCCACTCACCACTTGTGATGCCAGAAAAACCAATGATCTATTCAGTAGAGCAGTGGTCGGCAAACTCATTAGTCAAGAGTCAAAAATTAACAGTACACGATTGAAATTTCTTTTGAGAGCCAAATTTTTTAAACTTAAACTATATAGGTAGGTACATTCAACTTTAAATTCACGGTTTTCGTCTTCTGTATTTCTTTGCTTCTTCTTTGTAGCCATGTCAAACAGGGCACCTACAAAAATGTTTCATTTTATAATAATAAAGCCACCAACACAAAAGAATTACAATTCTTAAACTGATGACAAAAATACCTGTAGGATTTGCAGCTGGTTGGAAAAATACAGGTAACTTTATGCTTTGAGTAGGTACTTTTGTCACCCGCGCGCTATTTGCGGACGCGATTAGCACTAACCACTGCACAATGAGACTGCTGACTAGCTCACTCACCTCATGCATGAATCGCGTGCGCCTTCCCCACGCTGCGTATCCCGCGACCCGAGGCCCGCCTGCGCCGCGTCTCCCCTCGCCCAACCAACCGACACCCCCCACTTCTTCAAAATAGACTCGCCCAGGCCGAAATGGACTTCTGCGCATGGGCCACGAAGTTTCAATAGCACTGTACGTGCGCGCCGCACGTGGTATTTTGTGGAAGAGCCGCACTCAAGGGGCCAAAGAGCCACATGTGGCTTGAGAGTCATGGTTTGCCGACCACTGCAGTAGAGCAATGACAAAATAGAAAAACCTCTCTTGTCTTAGGTCCAGGGAGAGGAAGGAATAAGACGAGCTCCTGGTTGAGCCCTCATTATTTTTTCTACAGAGCTCGGGTTGGGAACCTTCTTTTTTTGGAGCGTCGGCCTGCGGACTCAAGGGTCCCAGGTTCAATTCTGGGCACATCCCCAGTGGGGTGTGTGCAGGAGGCAGCTGATTGGTGTTTCTCTCTCATCGATGTTTCTAACTCTCTATCCTTCTCCCTTCCTCTCTGTAAAAAATCAATAAAACATATTTTTAAAAAAGCTGTGGTACATTTATACCATGGAATACTACGCAACAGTAAAAAAGAAGAATCTTTTACCCTTTGAGACAGCATAGAGGGACCTGGAGAGTATCATGCTAAGGGAAATAAGTCAGTCAGAGAAAGACAAGTATCACATGATTTCACCATTATGTGGAATGTACGTAACAAAACATCTATCTTCTATATCTATCTATATATATAAAAGGCTAATATGCTAAGTATTACCATCCTGGTAATGACATCATGTAGCAACACCCAGCTTCCTCTCCCTAGTGACTAGCCTCCTTGCAGTTTCTTCAGCACAGGTACACAACTTGCTTTATAGCAGGTGGGAACATTTACACTGTAACCAAATGTCTGTGAAGCGTTTTCCGTGCCTCATCTCATTTGATCCTCACAGAAGTCTGGGAGTAGGTAGATAGGAGACTCAATGGAATCCTATTTTCTTTTCATTAGCCAGAAAATGGAGATTTAGAAACCTTAGGAACTTGACCTGACTGAAAAGAAGTAAGAAATGGTGGACCTTGAAAATGACTTCAGGTTTTCTCACTGCACAGAATATAGTCAAACACTGCTGCAGTTAAATATTTCACTCTTTGTTCTCCCTCCATGATCTACAATAATAATCTGCTTTGTGCTGATATTCACTGCTGTGTTGCTGACAATTACCTAAAGGAGAAATTGGGGTGCTTCACAGGGCTGGAAAAAGTTTAGCTACATCAGAAAGCAGGTCTAATTAAGTAAATTTATTCTATATCTATAAAAGGCTAAGTTGACTCGCGCCTGCACGATATATATAAACCTCTCACTGGCGCCAATCGCACACGTGTGTTTCAATCTGTCATTATTGATCATGAATTTGGTTGACACTTCTATTATAGAGAAAGGGAGAATAGCAATATTAAAATATTTCTTCTTATTAATTTCCTTTCAATGTGCACAAATTCGTACACTGGGCCACTAGTAAACTGATAAAAGGAGTGGATCCAGAGACATGAAAGCATGGGAGAAAGTGCAGAATCTTAGCGGGAAGGTGGGGGACAGTGGGTGGGTGGGATTTAATCAACCAAAGGCCATGAATGCATATATGCATAACCCATGAACACAGGCAATAGGTTGCTGAACAACTAGGAAGGGGGGTGTTTTGGGGGGGCCGGAAGAGGGATGGAGGAGGTCTATGGGGGGGAAAAAGGTGATATATGTAATACTTTCAACAATAAAGAATTATTTTTTTTAAAAGAGGAGGTACAAACTGGTAGTTACAAAATAGGGGCATGTAAAGTACAGCACAAGAAATATAGTCAATAATATTCTATTAACTATGTGTGGTATCTGATGGGTATTAGACTTTATAAGTTATGTACATGTCTAACCACTATGTTGACACCTGAAACTAATGTATTGTGTCAACTTATTGAAAAAAAATTTTTTTAAGCCCTGGCCAGTTTGGCTCAGTGAATAGAGTGTCGGCTTGTGGACTGATGGGTCCCGGTCAAGGGCAAGGACCTTGGATGCAAGTGCCCTCGCTGGCCTGAGCCTTGGTGGGGCATGTGCAGGAGGGCACCAGTAGATGTGTTTCTCTCACATCAATATTTCTGTTTTTCCTTTCTCTTCCACTCTCTCCAAGAATCAATGGAAAAATATCCTCACGTAAAACTTTTTTAAAATTTTTTTTAAAGAAAATGGTGCACACACACACAGAGGACAATTACTGTATTATTCAGCCATTAGAAAAAGAAATTCTGCCACTTGTAACAACACATTCATGGTCCTTGAGGGCAGGATGCTTTGTGAAATAAGTCAGAAAAAGAGAAATGCCATGTGTTCTCAATTATCTGTGGAACCTTTAAAAAAGCAAGTCCATAGATACAGAGCACAGGTTCAAACCTAGGACCCTTCAGTCCTCAGGCTGAAGCTCGATCCACTGAGCCAAACCGGTTTCGGCAGCAATTGTATCTTAATGAAAAATAAAATCCCTGCCCTAGCTGGTGGTTTGGCTCAGTGGATAGAGCGTCAGCCTGAGGACTGAAGGGTCCCAGGTTCAGTTCTGGCCAAGAGCACATCCCTGGGTTACGGGTTTGATCCCCAGTAGGGGGCATGCAGAAGGCAGCCAATAAATGATTCTCTCTCATCATTGATGTTTCTATCTCGCTCTCCCTCTCTCTTCCTTTCTAAAATCAATAAACTACATTCAAAAAAGAAATAAATAAAATCCCTTCTAGAAAAAAGATTTCAGTAGATCTGAAAAATTGCAATCACCTAGTGATGTCATACCCATCAGAATGTCATAGGGAAATGCATTACTCAGATGTTTATGATGACGCTGGTGTAAACAAGCTTCCTGTGCTGCCAGTCCTATGAAAGTCCAGCACATACAGTTACACTCACTACATGGAATACTTGATGATGAGAAACTGGTTTATGCATTTGCTATACTATCCTCTTTATCTTTGTGAGCTTCCTACTTAGTGAAAAATTTTTTGCTATGAAGCAGTATGCTGTTTCATGCGGGCAGCAGCCTCAGAGGTCTTGTGTTGACTGTGCCTTTTGATTGCATCATTGCCTCCTGGGCTTGATGAATCTGTTTTTTGTAAATTTCCTGTCCTAACTCTACACTTTCATAAAGTCTACAGTCCTGCACAGTAACGTCCTAGGCCTTCATATTCACTGACCAATCACTAACTCCTGCAGAGCAGCCTCCAGTCCTGTAGCCCATTCAGGGTCAGTGTCCCTCGCTGATGTACCATTTTCTATCTTGCACACCACATTTTTACTGCACCTTTTCATAAATGCTTCCTACCATTGCATTACAATTGCCTACAGTATTCAGTACAGAAGCATGTTGTACAGGTTTGTTGCTTAGGACCCACAGGCTACACCATATGGCCTAGGTGTGTAGCAGGCTACACCATGCAGGTTTGTAAGAGAACTGATAACAACAAAACTGCCTCAGGATGTCCTCCCCAGGTTCAGGGGTGCAGGACTGTATGTAACTGCAGTTTCACCTCTCCCAGGAGTAAAATTTTAGCCCAGTCACTCTGCAACTTGTTCAACACTGTGGACGAAAGGGGCCACATGCTGACCTGACAAGCTCAGGAGAGGCCTGCGTGGCAGCCTAGCAGACTCAGAGACCTAAAATAACCACAAAGGATGGTCTGAAATTAAACTGAAACTGAAAGCAGTTATGGTGGGCAGTTACGCCCTAGGCCAGTATCTTCACTGACAAGGTCCACTTTACCGTAACTGAGCCTATCTGTTTTTTTGCATCGAAGATAACATATCCTTGGGATATCTGGGTAACTTGTGACTTCCCTTTTTATGGAACCCCTGGGGCACAACCAGGTGTGCTGGCCCAGGACAGATGCAGCAGATTCTTTCATTTATCATGTTAACTGATCCTGCACCCACCTAAGTATGTGTCCATCATTTTACTTTTTATCCTATCCTAGAGGTTTCCCGGCTTAGCTTAATCCCACCTCCTTAAATCTGTCACCAATGAATTTCATGTATAAATATGGATGTAACCCTGCCATTCTCCGGAGCACTATCTCAATTCCTTGAGGTTCTGCTTCCCGGCATATGTCGACAGTTTGGCTCAAATAAACTCACAAAAATTCTTTACAGGTTTCAATGGTTTTTTTACGTTGACAACACTAATCTGTCTAAAGACTCCTGCTGTTCCTTCCCCTAAGGAAGGGTGACCCTGCCTGAAGCAATCCCCTCCTTTCTTTTACAAATAACCTCTCAAAGCCCCTTCCTTTCTGCCTACTGTACAGACCCTCAGATTCTATTTACTAGAGGAGATGCGGCCCGATTCTGGAATGGAGAATCAAGCCAGTTAGACGTTCCACTTTATTCAGCTGAATTTTGTTTTTAACCGTTTGAAAAGCACCACAAAACAAACAGCTGATAAACATGCTGTGACTCAGAGAAGGAAGATGGCGTTTAGGATTCGGGGGAGAGACTGGAAATGCAGGCACTTGCTGCAGAGCTAGGCCTGGGGACAGGGGTGGACTTGAGAGCCTGCTCCACAAACATCAAAACTCAGGAGAAAACGGGGTCCTTCTAGGGAGAAAGGAGGGACAGGGGGCCCCACAGACCACAGCTCCTCCCATGCACGAACCGCGGGGACCGAGTCACCATTGTCCCCCATGACCCTCCCCGTGGTCACCGCACCGACTGCGGAGCCGCGGGGATGAGGGTGCAGAGCTGCCCAGACGCGCTCCGCAGCCCAAGGCCCTGCCGCGGGGACACACTGGACGCCCGGGTCCCGGCTGGGCCCCACCCTGCGAGCCCGAGGGGCCTGCAGTTTCAGCGGAGGCCCCGGCGCCTCGGGTCCGCAGGCTCCGGACCTGACCGTGGACAGACGGTCCCGCCACGGCGGCTCCACCCGCCCCTCCTCCCCGTCCCCGCGCCCGGCGGCACACTCACCATTTCTAGTTCCTGGGCCTCCCGAGTCCCGCCTGCAGCTCCCACCACCTTACAGATCACAGATGAGGACAGAACAAGGGAGATGCGATCCCAATGCAGCTGAAGCAAAGGAACAGCCGAGTTGTGGCAGAGCGTAGCCCCACCCGCCCGCTCCGACCTCTACTCATAGGACACACACTTTACACGACATCGCCCCCTAGCGCCTGAGGTGCACAGGCCTGAGCCCAAAGCAGCCAGATCTCCTGTCCAGGGACCTTGGCACTGAGAGGCAGCGCTGAGAGTCCCCAGGGAACAGTGGTCCTTCCTTGCAAACACACACACTGAAAAGGCACCTAATGAATCTGGCTCCATTTTCATCTTTGTTGACAACTGGAGTCTGACGTGTGCATTTGCCAAAAAGGTGCACAGGCTCAGGTAGCAGGGATGCCTTAGGGTGGTACCTTCCAGAACTACAGTCAGATTCCCAAAAAGAGAATTGAAACCAGAAACAAGCCATCATTTCCAGCGGGAAAAGTGACTTCTGTGCATTTAGAATGGTTAACTTTATTTTTTAATATATTTTATTGATTTTTTACGGAGAGGAAGGTAGAGGGATAGAGAGTTAGAAACATTGATCAGCTGCCTCCGGCACATCCCCCACTGGGGATGCACCCGCAACCAAGGTACATAGCCTTGACTGGGATCGAACCTGGGACCCTTCAGTCCTCAGGTCGATGCTCTATCCACTGAGCCAAACCGGTTAGGGCTAGAATAGTTAACTTTAGAAAATGTTTTTCACATGAAAAAATGTGTTCCCACTGGTGATTCAGTCACGCTCCTCTGAGGCCATGAGCCCCCCTTCCTTGTGGTTGTCTTGTGGGCAGTTCCACAGACCTACCCAGAGCAAGGAGATGGGTCAGGTACAGAGGTCACCAGGGTGGGAAGCCCAGGTGTCCAGCAATGGGCAACCAATTGTAGGGTGGGGCCTGGTCCCCAGGGTGACTTTTCCTCCTCTAGCAGATCACTGGTCCTACAGTTTGGACCCCCTGATCTTCCTCCCTAGAGATAACACCTATGCCTCATTGAATTTAGCCCCAGGCTCAGATAAGCAACAAAATGGCAGGGCTGACATCAGGACCAGCTGCATTGAATAATGACCCCTGCCCTGGTGCCGGCCAATCCAGCAGTGGAGGCCACACCCCTGAATGGACACACCTGGAAAGCTACAGAATATTCCATTCAGCTCTTCCCCTGGGACCTCCCCTGAAATCTCCACCCTTAAAACCTTTAGGAAGGAGGACCCAGTGCACTCTCCCTCCCTGGAGCACACCTGTACCTTTCCCTCCCCTCCACCTCCTCCTCCCCCAGGCAGGTTACCATTAGCTTGTGCTCCCAAGCTCCAAGGGCACTTCTTTTACCTCCATAACTCATTTCCTAAACCCATTTCCTCTAAGACTTACTTCTCCTACCTCTGTAATTTACCCAGGAATGTTCTCTTACAGTTTGGGTCTTGCTCTGAATTCTTTTCTAGCCAAAACCCAAGAACCCAGGCTGCTGAACTCACATTTGGTCTGAGCCCAATCAGAAACCTGGTGCCATTCCTGCTACCACCACGGTTACACTGTTTAATCCAGCAATAATGAAATTTAACTGAAAATTGGTTCCCATCAACGTAAGAATCATTCAAACCTATAGAGTATTTTTATGAGTTCATGTCAGGAAGCAAAGTGTCAATGAATTGAGATAATGTCCAGAGTATGGCAGTTTGGTGCTTTATTTTATACATTACAATCAAAAGAGAAGACTCAAGTGGGTTATATGAAATCCACTGGTGATAGATTAGGGAGCTTGGAGAAAGTAAAGCAGGGTACCCGGGGGATACGATGAAAAGTAAAATGATAGACATACATATATATTTTACATAGGTGGGTACAAAGTAGGTAATAGTTAATGATTAACATAATAACAATGAGAGGAGATATGGTCTCATTTCTTCTGCATTGGTTGAGCACTGAAAGGTCTGAAATAGGGGGAGTTACCCTGACACTGCCAAGATATGTAATCATATATGGGAAAGACAATGGGCAAGCATAGGGAAAGGAAAGATTGAGTTTGTTAGGGGGATTCTAGTCTGGGACATGACTATCTACCATAAACTGCTTCTAGTTGAAATATTTTCATTTCAGACCATCCCTTGTGGTTATTTTAGGTCTTTTAATTTGCAAGGCCATCACACACAGGCCTTCCCTGAACTTGGCAGGTTAGCATGTGGACTCTTTTCATCCCCACATCTCAATAATAATCCCCCTGATTGCTGAGTCTGTGATACTAGCATAACATTCATTCTAACCATGATGGAAGCACTCCCTGCCAGGCAGCCTCTCCATAGTGAATGCACAGCTTCCTGGCTCTGACCATTGCCTCTCTCCAGTCCCTGAGGAAATGCTCACCTTTAGTATCATCTGAGACAAACAGCCCCACCCAAACTGCAGCAATAACCCCATCCAGCCTGGGACACAGAAGAACCTGGAGGCCATCTGACACAGTCAACCTGAGGGCAGAGCCACAGAACCACAGGGACCTCAATGGAGAGAGAAAAGGAGGGCACACGTTTCACCCAGGACTCAGCTTACCAGGAGGACCACACGTGGAGGAGCAGCATCAGTCACCATACACAGCAGGAAGAAAGGTCTGTGGGTATTCACCATGAAGAACTGAGATGGAGAATATATTTGCATTTCATCACCTTTTTTTCACCTTCCTTTTCACAGCTATCTCAAAAACAATAGTCTCGAGGCACTTTTTCTAGAAATCATTCTGATTTTCTAGTCTGGAATACCTCTGGTTTTTTGTTTTGTTTTTGCTCTCATCTCAACCTCAAATAAATGACCTCCTACTAAGAATTCGAGTTCACTGGGGAAGATGCACATGTTTGGTCTCTTCTCTCACACTGCTGAACTTCAGGAACCTGCTGCTGCAGAAATTACATCCCATCCCTGCCCTTCCACACCCTGCTGGTACTTGCACCTGTGGGAATTGTATAGTTCCAGCTGTGGCCCCATCTGGGTAGAGAATGCTCCACTTCTCACGAGTAACAATTGGGGGAGCTGGTCGCTTTGCTGAGGCCAATTCATGCTGCTCTTCCAGGTGCTGGAATTACTGGGTTGTGTTTAGTAAGAAGAGGTGATTCCTGTGATCTCCATCATGGCAAACACAAGGGCCAGAATAGACTTAATGTGGCTGCATCCACCTGCACCATGGAAACCATGAGGTCTCAAGACTCACCCTACAAGATGGTCTTTTCAGCCAAAGAGCCCCACTGAAAAGGCACAAGGAGTTCCTTGTATGAATAGAGAGATTTTCCCCGTAGCCTTGGCATATGGCTCTAATGGAAAGAGTCACACACGGTTCAAGCAGCTGCTCTGTGGGAGGGTCACTGAGATAACGTGACTGCTGGTCAACCAATGAGCTGGGCAATGAGATTCCTTCCTCCCACCCCTGTCCTTGGGATACATGTTCTGCCCATGGATGGAGAACTAAAGCCATTTAAAGGACACAGCTTTGAGAGACCAATGTGTTGCTGACCCCACCTGAACTGTATACATGACCCAGTGAAGGTGATTAGGTAAACTTTGAATTATCTGGTGGGCAGGGTGGAGGTCTACTCCTCTTCTGTCCACCCAAGACCACCCTGGTATAGAAATTCCTTTATTTATTAAAACTGCCACTTAACCCTGACCAGTTAGGCTCAGTGGATGGAGCATCGGCCTATGGACTGAAGGGTCCCAGGTTCGATTCCGGTCAAGGGCATGTGCCTTGGTTGTGGGCACATCCCAAGTGGGGGGTGTGCAGGAGGCAGCTGATCGATGTTTCTCTCTCATCAATGTTTCTAACTCTCTATCCCTCTCCCTTCCTCTCTGTAAAAAACAAATAAAATATGTATATATTTTTTTAAAAACTGCCACTTAAAACTCAGGGGTGGCCCAGCTGGCATGGCTCAGTGGTTGAGTGTCAACCCATAAATCAGAAGTACAGTATGGGTAATACAACATTTTCCATCATCAATTGTTTATTTTAAGATCAAGTGTCAAAAACTAAAGCTGAGATTGAAAAGTGTGCCTGAGGAAACACTTCTAGCTTGTCCTTGAACAAAGGGGCCTAGTTTCCTTATAGAGAGCAATAGAGTTTATTTCTTTTCAATCTTTTCAGTGTTCATGCAAAAGGACACCATGTAAAGTATACTGTTCTCTCTCCACAGATGTTTTGAAATATGCTTTTCCTCTCTCGTTCATTTAAAAATAAATTCTGCTCTAATTTTCATGTCCATGATTCTGTGCCACCAGCACATGAGATGGAGAAGAGAGCCCTGGAGAGCTGCTGCGACTTACCCTAACCCGGCCATCCCTGCTCTGAAATGGGACCCAAGGAACAGCAAGATTAGTCACCTCCAGGCAATCATGCCACAGGATGTCCTGGCTAATAGTTGACCCTATCTGTACATTTTTACAACTTTTAGGCCATTGCCAATGGTCTGGCCATCTGGCACCAAGAGCAACAACTCTTAATCGAAGATCACCCTTTGGGATAAAGCGCTCTGGAATAACTTTACTCATAATTACTCAAAAAGAAGGGAATGTCACACATCTCTGCATGGGGGACAAATGAAACCGCAGGGCTTCATTTCCATCATAGCCAGAAAAATTAGTGCAAGTTTCTGAAACACACTGACACTTCAGGTGCACTCAGAAGTAGAGAGAAAAACAGGGGTGAGGGAACCCGAGGTTGTAATACCAAGACAGCGAGGTGTCCCTATGCTTCATGGGAGGATGTAATAGGGTTGTTAATATTTCTGTGCACAGACATGGAAATGACACTCGCTACAGTTTAGGCTGAGAAGACTACAATACTATTCTGTGAAATTATGCTATATGTTACCCTGTAAAATAAATTATATGTTAATTTTATAACTTTTCTAATGATCCAAAATATATGCTAAGATATACTACTGTACTATATATTACCAACATTATAAAAATATACTAAATACACCACACTCTACATCATATATACATACACAGATGCACATAGATACAAACTATCCTATATAATAAAAGGCTAATATGCAAATTGACCAA